GCTAACTACGTTGGAGATATAATTCCGAAAGAAAGAAAGAACAAATATTACGGGAATAATTATATTCATATAATAAAAGGTGTTCCACATGTTTTCCACTCGTCTGCTTGCGTAGCGAAATCCGGTGGAGATAGTTTTCTTCCACCTTCAGAATGGTAGCAGTTGGAATACTTTCGCACTGCGCCACAATGCTCTGTTTAATTTCCTCGACCGTTCTCGGTTNCTTCAGATATCCCCACAGAAAGAAATCCAAGGGGGACAGATCAGGTGACCTTGGAGGCCATTCATTTGGTCCTCCTCGACCAATCCATCTGCGGTTAAATTCCGTGTCGAGGAGACTTCTCACCACCAGAGCATTGTGTGGCGGTGCACCGTCATGTTGGCACCAAACTGTAGTACCAACTTCAGTTTCTATACGCCTAATGCCAGGTACTACATTATCTTGTAACATGTGCAAGTATGAAGCGTCTTAAAAAATTTAATATGCAAAATTGTTCTTAACTGTTACGTTTCCATTGAAAAAGTACGGCCCGATAATCCTGCCGTGCACAATACCAGCCCATACTAGCACCTTGGAACTAAGAAGCGATTTTGATCCAACAAAGTTTCTTGGGTTTTCAATGGCCTAACGAATATAGCTTGACTCACTCATTCTGACACGACGTTCGGATTCGATCAAGTGAGCCGTGATTGCCGGGCCGTATTTTTCAATGGAAACGTAACAGGTGCGAACAATTTTGCTTAATAAATTGTTTAAGGCGCTTCATATTTGCACATGTTACAAGATAATGTGGTACCTGTTTGTTCTTTCTTTCGGAATTCTATCTCTGAGGTAGTTAGAGATCGTTCAACGCAAAAACAACCAGTTGGAAAAAATCACGAAGAGTTTTGCGTGGGCTTACATTAGGGGATATTGTTGTCCGTTATTAAGATAAGTTCAAAGTTTTATTGTGATTATCTGTTTACCTCACCCGCTTCGAAAAATAGGGCGTGTATCTTAGACGATTATGGATTGAATGCATTAATCAGCCAGGGAACGACAGAGAAAAATATGATTTCTGTTAGCTATTGAATAGAATTGAATTTGATCTTACTACTCAGGTGGAATACTGCTACTTCATTGACCATTGTTACCAATGTTAAGTATCTTGTCAAGTGTGCATTTCAATGTCAGAAATAAGTAAGCAATCGCATTTGATTCAAAGGAATCGGTTTTATTCGAGAGAAACTCGGCCTGAATAGGACTTACCCATTGGGTTATTGTGGGCTTAGACTGACTCCACTCATACAAAGAATCATGCTCACATTCACGTCTGGGCATGGTAGCCGACTTATCCATCCATCTTGACGTAATTCGCTTCCTTACCGGACCGACAGAGGTCAATTAACTCGGGGTTTGTTCATTCGCATCTATTACGCACACTCGATCAACGATCACGAACATAACGTTTCCGGGTGGAACGGGTGTGCGGGAGGGGGAGAACGGCCCACCTCGGCCCACCCACCCCCCTCCCGAAAAAGTCACCCTTGCTCGGTATTCATTAAAAATGTACTTTTGTTTGTTTATGGGGAAGTGAGTTCATTCAAACTGGACGGGGTTTAGACAGACCCGGTCCAATGGGTGACATTTGACGGCCGAAACACCAATAATCTTGTGAGGTTTCCAATGGAGTGCGATTGGTTGGATTCACTTGAAGTTGAAATTCAAATTTAAATTTTTTATTACGGGAAAAAAAAAATTACAAAGACTTCGCTTATTAAATCCCATAGGGTGTTTACACTTTGGTTCGGAACACCATTCACAAGATCACAGTGCATGTACGTAAACGCGTAATGACATTTTTTGACGAGCACAGGAGAATATATTATGTAGTTGGGTATTGAAACATAATGTTTGCCAGAGCACCATCAAGCTGACGCTTGAAAGATACTAATGTTGGCACACGGACCATGTGAGGTGGTAGAGAGTTCTATGTGTTGCACACTCTGACTGCAAATGAATGTCGTCTGCAGTCGAGACGGCTCTTTTGGAGTGCCAACTTCAGCGGATACCCTCTGAGGTGAAAATTGGTTGATAAAACTAAAAGGGATCTACATGGATGGTTGGGCTGTTGGAAAATCCGATGTAGTAAAATATCGCCTCTGATTTGACGATATTGAGACGAGTATAGCCCCAGTAGCTGTAATCTTTCACCATAGGTTTTGGAAAGTAGACCTTTGACCATCTTGGTAGCCATTCTTTGTGGATGTTCAAGTGCCTTCCGATCTCGCTACTGCCATGGGTTCCAGGCTTGAATTGAGTATTCGGTGTATGGACGGATATATGTGGCTAACAGACGTGGAAAAAAGCCGGCTCAAACGATCCAAAATAACGTTTGAGTAGTCCAACCTGTTTTACCGCCATGAATGATGCCGTGGAACAGTTTGTGGAGCAACTCAAGTCTGCGCGGATGACTACTCGTAGATCCTTCTCGGATGCTGCATGAGGCAAAGTTTCGTGTCCAACAGTGTAGGAATAACGACCATTGTGAAGTAGTGATAAAACTTTACATTTGGCAACGTTGAATTCCATATCATTGGAGACAGAACATTTGTGGGCTTCGTCAAGGGCGTTCTGAAGATCAATTGAATCTTCAGGTTTTGTTATTGTCCTCCATATTTTGGCATCGTCCACAAACAGCAGAGTTTGTGGTCCGAGGACGTCTTGAAGATCATTTATAAAGGCAAGGAAAAGAAGTGGGTCTAGTACAGATCCCTGTGGAACCCCACAGTTGACATCTATTGGATCAGAAAGTGAATCGGAAACACGAACTGACATGGTACGTAGGCTAAGAAACTCCTCGATCCAGCCGAGTACGAGTCCACGGATTCCATAATTATACAACTTCCGTATCAGTATTTCATGATTTACTCTATCAAATAAATGCTTTAGAGAAATCCAGGTAAATAACATCTACCCCGTTCTACCCGTTCTGGCCTGGGGATAGTAAGTCATTTTTCTCCAAATGATCCATTACCGAATCTGCAAGAATAGATTCCATGACTGTGGACAACACTGGAAGGAGAGTGACAGGTCGGTAGCTGGCTGGGTCATTACGGCATCCACCTTTGTAAATTGGTGAAATGATACCATTTTTCCACACGTGAGGAAGCACGGTATCCTCGAACAGTTTTTGATATATCTCACTTAAAGGTTCGGCTATGTGACTTGCCAGGGTGATAATGGCTTGTGGATGAATGTTATCTAAACCCGGTGATGAGATCTTCTTCAAAGCCAGAAGCTTTGCCTTTATCCTTTCAGGAGAAAAGATAATGTTTGTCAGTAGTGGGTAAGGAATATGTTCCATCAAACGGGGAAGTACGAACCCAGTGTTACTAGGGGCGTTGACCGCCTGGGATTACTGTAGTCTGAACATTTCTGCAGCCTCCTTGGTTGTCGCTGAAACACGTCCTGCTGAGTATCGGAACGCCGTGTTTGACTTTCCGGGAAGCGTTTACATGCTTATATAGTAGCTAAGGGTTTGCGATAAACTTCCTCTCCAGCATATCATGGTGATTGTGCTTGTCTTCCCGCAACAAATTTGTACAGTGATTTCGAAGGAGCCTGTAAGCTTCCTAAGTGCTGGGGCATGGACAGCGTTTGAACTCACTCCAGTGAAAATCCCTTTGCATTATACATTTCCTAGTTCGAATACGAATTGCTGATTTTCGGACAGTCCGTTGTCATCGACGCTTGACGGTTGTAACAGCAACCACCAATGATGTGATGCTGTTAGAAAATTTTATCCAGGATTCCAGGGGATTGCAGCCTATATCAGGGGAGATCCACTGGATTCCATGAGCCAGGTTGTTGAGCCCTGCAAAATCAGTTGTGCTGCGAAAGCGATCCGAAGAAGCTGTTATCACTGATACATAGCAAACGTATTCGAACAATAATACAGCGTGATCACTGCGCCCCAACGGAGTTGCGATCGCAATTAATTCGACCAACAATTCTTCATTTGTCAGTACTAGATCCAAAGTTGACGAAATTTGGTTAGTTCCATACCTGGTGGGTTCCTTCGTATGATTGTACAACGAATGAGACTGGATGAACTGCTTCAACTGTCGTTCAAATGGCGTACACGATGTAGTCACGTTGCTCAGCTTTGTACAGTTGAAGTCACCCATAACAAGAACGCGGGTGAAATTCTATGACAAGAAGTAAGACATTGTTTGCAACAAAGTCTCATTTGATGAATCTACTGACGAAGGAGGGCGATAAACTACACTGAGCAGCCCGATATCATGTTGTGTTAGCTTCAATTTACACCATAACGTATCGGAAGCAGCGAACGGGACTCAATTTGCTCGCATTGCAAGCTGTTATGATGGTAGAGCAACACGCCCCCACCTCGCGTTGGACGATCACGCCTCAATAGCTCCATGCCTGGTAATCGCAGCTCGGAGTCCAAATTGTCAGTCGTCAACCAGGTTTTGGTTACGGCAATGAGATCCCATCGAACGGTCCGACAACATATTTCCACTTCTGGAAACTTATTGAAAAATCCTGAGCGTTGGTATAGAAACAGTTCAGTCGTTGACGGTGCAGAAATCCCTTGGAGGTTAGGGACGTACTACCTTCCATCACAGTAGATGTTTGTTGGGTTTGGTCTGATGGGATTGAAGTGGAGCATGAAGTTTACAGTGTTTCACGCGCAATGTGACTAACATTTTCGAATGGTGGACAATTTTTCGGTCCTGAATTCAGCATCCGTCTTACGCGTAGTTCTTTGGGCCCTCTGGTTCTGTGTTTATACCATGAGTGGAGAACAGTGTTTGCCATTTCTGGTGTCCCAAG